CCATATGAACATACGTGCACCATGGTCACTTCAACAGAAAAAAAATATCTTCCTAGTTTTAATCAAAAATAAAAAATTGGCCCATGGAAACGCAGGCTCCATAATATCAAATAACACAACATCACGCACGCCTCAAAACTGCGCGCCCACACACTCTCAGCTTCTAGTCAACCATTCAGTCTGCAAAAACAAAACACAACCACGACTCGAGTGGGGTACTCAAATCTTCGAATCAAACTCCTCTTCTGTCATTTGCAAAAACCAGGGCGGATACCCTTGTAAAGGTATTCACACCGACAGCGGTGGGGTGCAATCGTCTGCGAGCAGGTTCAAGGAACTATTCTGCGGTTGAGATTAACATAATGGTGGGCAGTTAATCCCCTTTGAAGCGGGGAATCAATCTTCTCCTGTCTTCTGTCTTGTGTCCCAATCTCGTTAATGGGACAATGGACCCAGTTTCCAGAGGGTCTGGTGCAGCTCCCCACCAATAGATTGGAGCCATCACAATGGGTGGGGCTGGCTCGTGGAGGATGCTTGTAGCATCTCAACCCACAAATATTTGTTTCAAAAAAAGGGGGGGGGAGGGAGGGGGTGAAAGTGACCTCTTTGCGGCTACGAAAACGTACCTGGATACAACATTGTCCTAGTACATTCTGACTAGGGCAAAGTGATCAGCATCTAACCTGTTCACCTTTCCTGTGGGCATAGGTTTTGTTTTAGAAAACTTTAGCAACTGACATTCATCATCACACTGTACGTGTCGTCTCACTCACATTGCACACTGAGTACGCCATGAAAGTGAACAAGTCCGACAATGATTAAAATGCATGCGAAATATTAATATGAGGTCTCACTCGTTAAGTCCACGCATACTGTCCCTGCCGGGATACCCTGGTTAAACCACCAGCACCTTTCCCAGCTATTTTTTTGCAGAGATGCGGCTAGTTAACGGCCACAACTTTCGGGGACCGACCACCGTTGATAAATTCGATCGGCGGCCGTTGTCGTGTTCGTGTTCGGGCCTCCAAAAGTCGCGGCAAGGGGCCCGCAGCCGATGTGTGGGCGAGGTACTGGTGGTCTAAACCACCAGTACAAGCTCCCGTCATCCAAAACTTGCCGTTGCATACAAGTGGGCCACACTTTTTAAACCACCAGTACTTGGCCCAGCTATCGGCCGCGGCGCTTCCCCGTTAACGCGCCGCAGATTTCGGACTTCGGGGTAGCGGACCTCAATGGCTGGAAGCGCCAGCCAAAAGAAAAATGAAACTGTACCCCATCGCTTCGGCAGAAATCGGCGCGCAGGGGGATTCCAGGCTCGGCATCGATAGCTGGGCCAAGTACTGGTACTGACCTTGGCGGGGATGCAGGAAAAAAGGCTCGCTGCAAAGATTCGGCAGACAATCAGAGGGCAGCCTCCAAAACGCGCCTTCAGTCCTCGCGTTCAGCTCGCCAGAATTGTATCAGAATGATTCACTAAGCCGTGTAATGCCCCGGTTCCAGGACTCTACGTAAAAGGCCATATTTTGGATGTATCAGTAATACCCACAACTTTATACCACAATGCGCATTTCCAACTGGTGGTCTAACAACTGAGCTACATCAACTGGACAGCACTGTAGAGATCTGGGCATTGTCGTCCAGCATCTGGCCCTAACCTCCTTCGTCAGCAACTTGCGACTTCCCATTTCCGGTCGTCCACTGTCGCCTTTCGGGTTTCGGTCGGAGGGGGGCTGGAGGGGAGGGGTCTTCGGGTGGGGGCTGCGGGGGTGGGGAGCAAGGTGAGGGACAGGGAGCAACGGGAGGGGGGGCAATGGAGGGATGGAGGGAGGGGCATCCTCAAAGTCCCTTAGTGTTGGCAGGGTCAGGGGGGGGAGCGGGGTCTGGGGAGGTTGCTGAGAAGGAAGGGGGGGATGTGTGGGCACATGCGGGATGGATCCCCCACGGTCCAGCTCGCCCTTGGGACCACCAGGGTAAGGGGAGAGGGGGGGACAGGATCACCAGGAGTGGATTTTTCGGGGGGATTGCAAAGTCCTGTTTCGGTCTCAGTATCCGTCGTTGGTCTGGCGGTGGCCACAGTCCCCACCTGAGATTGAGGTCGGCGTCCAAGGTGGCCAGTTTGTTGTCCGGATCTCGCCAGGTTTCCATGAATACTTGTATTGTTTCGTCCCTCTGTTTGCGGTCTGTGATTATAGTGCTTTTTTTATGTTAGCTCGTATTGCATCTGCTATTTCCATTTTCACTTTTTTTTTTTCTGTTTTTGGCGGTCAGTGCCAAAAGGCAGGGGGAGGGATAGCCACTGGTGCCCCCCAGTGGCCCCTCCCGGTACCCTGACCAGGCAAGAGGTTGGAGAAGGAGACGAGGACCATCAGCTCTTGGTTCCAGGTTTCGGGTCATGCACACCTGCTCAGTCAATCCTCTGGTTCCCAGAGCAATCAATGCTGGCAGGCATCCTCTAGACACCATCCAGTTTTTTCTATGCATGATTCTGTATCAATTTCTGTAAGGGACGCTGGACCCGTTTTCCAGCAGGTGATGCTCCCCACCAATAGATGGAGCCTCTCCCCAGGTGCTAGCAATGTCTGCACTAAACAGCATCGCTAGTGGCACGATTTCTCGAAGTAAGGCTTAGCCTTCGGCCCTTCTTTCCAAAGACGCTCATAACTCGACGAGCTGTTTTTCATAAAAAAAATAAAATAAAATAAAAAAATCCACTTTCACTTCAAGAAAGCCAAACGTGTGTTGTTTTCTTTCGAAGGGCCGTCGTGCTCTTGATATCACCATCAGTACTATGAGCCTGGTCGTGTGGTAGAGGTTTCTATCGAAGTTGGTGAGGTTGGAATTCAGAGGAACGGCCGAGTCTAACAGCAGGGAACTTGGATTCCAAGAGAATGGTCGTGTGGTAGAGGTTTCTATCAAAGTTGGTGAGGTTGGAATTCAGCGGAACGCCCGAGTCTAACAGCAGGGAACTTGGATTCCAAGAGAAGTTTTGAGCGTCAAGCTAGGTCCCACCACCCCCAGATCCGAAGTGGCATAGGGCACTCTATAAGGCAGTGTTCCAGGTCTGCTCGGCTTTTCTTTTTTTATAATAAATCAGTTGCCATTGTTCATTTTCCGAGGCCAAGTATCCGGTCTCTGCCCCCAGCCGATCCCAAGGGCTCTATTGCCAATGTTCCCGGGAACCTTTCTGTTATTGCCCTTCCATTGTGGTGTCCGGGCGGTTAGGACAAGTCACCACAAAATGAGCAGATCAGGGATACGATGCCTTTTTTGTTCTAATTGGGGTCTAGACACGATCCAGTCTGGTGTTGGCAAGCATCGATCCCAGATCTGCCGCGGTGGGCAGTGGGCATGACCTGGCTATCTTGGACGATGCCGAGGAGGGGATCTGCGGGGCTTGGAGCAGCTAGTCCCTCTGCCATCGATTCACCATTGTTTTATCAACAGTGGTTCTCTTGCATGGACTGTACGGTAGCAGCCCTTCACTGTGCACTGCCATATGGGCAGAGGCTTCTTGCCCTCCCACTGCCACTTTACCAGAAAGGCCCGGGACCACTTGCCAGCCAAGCCAAAAAAAAAGAAAAAAGAAGTTTTTTTATTATTATTATTATTTTTTTTAATTCGTGATTTTTTTTGGGGGGGGGGGTAATTCACGAAGTACCCCCATAAGCTGGAGATATTTGCCAAAATGCCCCTAATAGATGTGGGTAGAGCGGAATGCCCTTTTGGGCCGAAATCTTTGTGTTATGGTCCCGTCAGGCAGGTGTGCAAATTTGCGATCTGGACCTCGCCGTTCGGGCATGCCTTTTTTCAATAGAGCCTTAGGGAAGTTGCCACATTCTGGGTATTTCGCAAAGTTGGATGGTACCCGGCAGGGGTATATCGCAAAGATGGGGGTTCCAACCGACGCGAGGGGTATTTCACAAATTTTTCTCATTCCGCTCTACTCACATCTTTCAGGGGCATTTTGCCACATATCTCAACTTACGGGGGTATTTCGCAAATTATCTCTTTTTTATTTCATTTTATTATTTTCTGTGAATCATTGCAATGCCAGGAATCGGGCCTGGCGTCCCTTACAAAGATTCCGTGGTCCTGTTTAGGGGCAAGGCATCACCGGCCAAGCCCAGAAACCGGACCGCCGCACACAACAAATCCTATGTCAAAAAGAAGCCACAAAGGAAAAAAGAAACGACCAGCACTACATGGTAATGAATGCCAACCCACAAAATGAGCAGATCAGGCCCCCAACTTAGGACTACTCCCTAATGAATGCCTGCCCGCCCAAATTTGGTGAAGATACTTTTTTTTTTTTTTTTTTTTTTTTGGTCGANTGGTGAAGATACTTTTTTTTTTTTTTTTTTTTTTTTGGTCGATGCGACCCTGAAGCAAAAGCTGTTCGGTTTATTTTCCTACATAGCATACTTGTTTTTTTTTTTTTTTTTTGCTGGGACCTTTAAGTCCTTGCACGGCTCGGGCGACCCGGCTCATAGCCTAGTCTCAAACTGGATAAAAGAAAATGCAATAATTGCGAAGGCTCTGCACATGTCTGCTTCTCTGACCTTTCCCTTTGTTGTTGTTGTTGTTGTTGTTGTTGTTGTTGTTGTTGTTGTTTTTCCCTCTGGTTAGCGGACTCAACACGTGACGACGGTCCCATTCAACCTTTTTTTTTTTCTTTTTTTTTTTTGAATTGGGCCATACATTACCATCCACGTTTCAAGCGGGGGGGCAGGCGAATACGTGGAAGTTTTTCTTACGTTTCTCCTTTTTCCTTCTTTTGCCTTCTTCTGACATTTGAACAAAATGATGGTGACATTGCTCGTCTTTCAAATTAACAAAAGAAGGTAAAAAACTGAAGAAGGAAAAAAAAAAAGAAAGGCACCACATCCACTTTTGCCACAATCTTCTGCATGAGATTTCCTGCAAAAAGTTCTGTGCAAAAAAAAAAAAAAAAGAAGAAGAAGAAGAAGAAGACAAGAAAAAAAAAATTATGAATCTTCTGATAAGCTGGCCAATTGCTATTCTTCCAAAAGACCAAAAGCTGTTTGTGAAAAGGCAAAACCATGAAGTTGCGCCAATGAGAAATGGAAAATCAAGCGATACTCTCCCTGTCCGCGAGCCATTGTCGATTGGTCACCCAGCCATCGTTCGCTAATGAACGCTCCGCCGCCAGGGACAGGCAGATTTGAAATAGATTGCCATCTTGGCAGAAGCCTCCTGAAAGGTCCCCTGCAATCATCACCATCTGCCTCATAAATCTGATTACCAACCTTCCTGTTTGAATTGTTTCACAACTGATACTCTCTCTCTCTCTCTCTCTTTCAATGCACCTTCCCAACAGTCCCTGACAGTCCCTGGCAATCCCTGACGGTCTCTGACGGTCTCTGACAGTCGATGGGAGCTTCTCAAAGTCCTTGGCAGTCTCTGGCAGCTGACAGTCCCTGACGGTCTCTGACAGTCCCTGACAGTCTCTGACAGTCCCTCACAGTCTCTAACAGTCCCAGACAGTCCCTAACGGTCCCTGACAGTCCCTGACAGCCCCCAGCAGTCTCTAACAGTTCCTGACAGTGCCTGGCATTTCCTGACAGTCTCTAACAGTCTGTGTCTGACATGGTCTGACAGTCCCTGACAGTCTGCTTGACGGGTCAGTAGTCTGGCACACAGGTCGGTACCAGTCTGAATGCACGACTTGCAGTCTTTCTGACAGTCTGCGAAAGGAAGAGTGTCTCCCGTGTCCAGGCACTAGGATGCATGGGTTTGAGAGGAGACCAAATCAACATCAGACTCGCTTGCTCGTGAAACATCAGACTCGCTTGCTCGTGAAACATCAGACTCGCTTGCTCGCGAAGAAGCATCATCGAGACGACTGTTCCATCATTAAACTCTACTTATCAGCAAAATGAGTCAACCACATCCGTTGATCCAATAATCTCCTATGTTGTGAAGAGGAAGAGGAAGGGGAGGGGACGATACTTGCGCTATTTTGGCAGCAATTGCTGTTCTGACCGGAAGGGGATAATAGAAACCCCTTCATCATTCGCCAGGAACTGTAGTCGATGTGAAGATGACTGCCATCTCTTTTTTTTTTACACCGCAGACTCGTGCGGGAGAAGAAGGAAAGGACGAAGGACATGTGTCGATTGACAGAAATGACGGTCAGTTTCCGTCCTCACCAGCTGGGGGGGGGGAGGGCGGGGGGGGAGGGGAACAACCAGTCGCAATCTTTTTGCCAAAAACTTATAGAGAGCCGTGCGATCGATTGGCGACGGCGTTCCTTGTGCACGCACACTGACGGTTCAGATCGAAGCTCTCAGCCAAATTAACCACACTTGCCAAAAACGTTTTTTTGGCACGATCGCCCGCCAATGATCCTCCAATCCAATCCAATCCAATCCGATCGTATCCGGTCCGTCCAGCTGTTCATCGCTCGCTTGATGCACAATGACAGTGAAGGAAATTTATTCTGCAGCAGCACCAGTGGTAGAATTGGCAGTCTCAAGGTCCAGAGGAGCAGAAAGGAGCGATCGCAGCCTGTTCATTTTCGTCCTTATCGACATGTCAATCATCTTGTCCCCAAGTTCGATGACCAATCCGCCGATGATACTCTTATCCACCTGTCATGAATCGGAACCAGGACAATGATCGCGACCACATTCAAAAACAGATATCCACTTCCCACACTCATGTGAATCTTGTCCACAAATGTCACAAGCCGCGACCAAAACAAAGGAGAGATTGTCCCCTCACCGTTTCTGTACCCAAGTACTACCATACACAGAACAGTGTGAAATCGCACTCCCCTTTCGGTTCAGACAAACAAACAGACAGACAGACAGACAGACAGACAGACAGACAGACAGACAGACAGACAGACAGACAGACAGACAGACAGACAGACAGACAGACAGACAGACAGACAGACAGACAAACAGAAACAAACAAAAGAGCAAACAAGCAAACAACAAACAAACAGAACCTTTCGGTTCTGCTTTGCTAGCCACATTAAATTAAACCAGACTTTAAAAAACGTCGACTTCCCCCCCTCCCCGGGGCTCCCCCCTTTGACAAGCTTGAACTGCCTAGAAAGCCCTGGATGAGCTCAGGCTGCACACACAAAGCCCTGCAGGACTAAACGGGGGCTGCACAGTGCACACACATGGTTACATTGATTACACCTGCTGGATCACCATCTGGATCGATTCCATCTGGATACAGGTGAGCAAGAAATATGTGGAGGACCAGGTTGTGCAGTGCATAGATCTCCCTGGTCCAGCGCTCAGGACCGGCAGTGAAATAGTGAAATGACACTGGACCACCTTGGAGTGCTGCCCCCAGAGTCCCCAACCAGGTCGGACTTCCCGACAGAGCCCCGGTCGGGGACTCTGGTGGAAGCCCTCCAAGGTGGTCCAGTGTCATTTCACTGCCGGTCCTGAGCGCTGCGGGTCCTGAGCCCTGGACCAGATGGGACTGTACACACTCCATCAGACCTGGTGGTCCTGGATCGACTCCAGCTGCATGTCAGGGGAGAGAGGAATCTTCAGACCTAGTTCTGCTGCACAGAGACCTGGTCCCATGCCCTGGACCAGCTCCTGGCCCATGGGCCTGTGTGAAATAACTTGTGTTCCATCAGACACTGACACTGACAAACTTGCGCTACACTGAGCCACGTGGACCAGCTTGGACTTGCCGCAGCCTTGAAACGTGTGGACCTGGTCCAACACCTTGGACCAGCTTGGTCGAACAACCTGGACTGGTTCCTGGCCCTGCGCCAGGTGAAGCAGATTGGACTTAGCCTTCTGAGAGTCTACAGAATGATTGAGTCTACAGAATGATTGAGTCGACAGAATGATTGAGCAACACAACAGCATTGAGAGGAGAGAATGATTGGATGAACATGTGGACCAGGGGACACATCATGGGACCTGGTTTGGCATTCCATAGACCCAGGAACCAATCAAGGATGTCCGAACACGCCATGATCGAGTCTAAAGAACAATTGAGCAACGCACAACGGCATTGAGAGGAGAGACAACGGCGGAACAGGATGGACTATTCCGCGGAAACTTCACTCACCTTCTGAGAGAGCAGAAGTTTCTTCCCGGGCTCCAACCGAGCCTGCAGAGCACTCTTCAGATCTGTGATCTCCTGGGTAGTGAGTTCCTGTAGACAACAACAGAAAATGGAAGACATCAGAAGAGAATCCCTCCACCAAGAAACATACTGCAATACCCGAACCCGAACAGTCAAAGTCGGGTAGTGAGTTCCTGTAGACAACAACACAAATTGTAAGCCTCGTGGAAACTGAGGGCCTTGCCAGGCCACACCCAGGCCCAGGCCAAAACGGGGAAAAAGACCCCAGCAAAAGATTCAGGGCCTGGACGAGGTGTACAGTTGACAAAAGTCAACTGTCGGAACCCCAAAAAGTCAAAGTCAAAGTCAAAGTGTACCCAGCCCAGGCCACCGGTCGGACACACACATTTGATTGTATGCAGGTACCCAGACAGCATCAGGTCCAACGGGAAAGTCCGCAACTGTACAATCCAGGCCTTCGGCTGTACATCAATCTGAACGACTGAGGGAAGGAGACCCGAGGCCAGAGAGCCTCGTCAAATGCTACTTAAAGACTGGCCTCGAGGTGGTTAACATTCAGTCTTGCCATGCTGCTTTGACACTGGCTCGACTTGACGAGACACCGGCATTATGCTGGCGCGATGCTGACTAGGAAGCTGGCTGTGCATAGGCGTTAAGGACGACGGCACGAGGTGGAGGCAGCAGTCTTGCGCTTCTTGCCAGGCATGCTGATGTGGCGCTGCCTCTGGTCTACAGTGCATGCTGATGTGGCGCTGCCTCTGGTCTATGTGGCACTGCCTCTGGTCTACAGTGCATGATGATGTGGCGCTACTACTAGTCTACATTGCGGATGTGGCATGTGCCACTGTTCTTCATTGATGATGTGGCATATGCCACCTGTCTCGGATGCTGACGTGGCATTGTCCACGCTGTCTACACGTGGATGAGGGAGGTCGGATACTCACCTGAGGTTGACGTCGGTACTGAAATCTACTGTGTCTTCATGGTCTTCATGACATAAGAGTGCCACGTGGCACTATTGTGTGTGACCAGGATTACCATACCTGTTATCATCTACTGGTTATTAACGTGGAGAGGGAAGAAGCCCGGAGAAGGAGAGGGGTTTGACGGGATTACTCCTGTGTGATCTTTTATCATCTCTTCCACCTTCTCCTCTGTCTGATCCCCCTCCACTCTCTTCGTCTAACGGTAATAAGATACTGTTTGAGATATCACTTCACGATTTGGAGACTTTGTTGCAGGTACTGAGATTACTGGTGTTTGACGACTTCCGAGTATCTACCAGACTGGGTTCATTACACATACTCCCGCAAACCGAGAAAGCCGACGTAACCTGCTGCATTGTTGCTGAGTGATACAGACACTGAGTTCACATCACATCACATCCTGCTGATGGTGCAATAATGCTAAGGCCTGGCTACCTCACACACACACAAACACACACACACACACACACACACACACACACACCAGACACACACACACACACACACACACACACACACACACACACACACACACACACACAAATCCTGCAGCAGCTGAACACCCTGGCTTTGGATCAATCCCCGTTGAGAAGGAATAAGTACTGAGGAAACCTGCTCCGCTCTGTGATGACCCACCTGAGATTCGGCTAGCATGTGGTTCACATGCCTTGTGTCATGAGGATTATGAATGAAGGGATAGCCCATGCGAATTTATGTTTTCACACCTACGATGGCAGTCAATATTGCACTCATGTACACCACCCCAACATGTCGTGTCCAATCTGTAGACAGCGGCTGGAACGGCAATCAATGCCTCTACAATTGCGGTCGTCGTGCCTTTGTGCTTCTAGCATATAGGAGCCACGCGGGCTGTGACATCTGTCTACGACGTGCCATCCGATGTAGCGACTGCAACTCCGTGAATTGATGCAGTGCTTCCACAGTTCATTCCCGAACCGATCATGTCCGGTTTCGGCGGTTTGTAGGGGTGGCCACTTATACCATAGGCAATCGCGGTTCGTCAATTCAGAATCTTATGCAACCCAGACACCGACTGGCCTCATGTGCCAATCTAGAGTAGCCTGCTCTAGTGGTGAGTATTCAGCACCNCAATTCAGAATCTTATGCAACCCAGACACCGACTGGCCTCATGTGCCAATCTAGAGTAGCCTGCTCTAGTGGTGAGTATTCAGCACCCTGTGTGTGAGAACTCCACCTCCTATTTCCTTCCTTCCTCCCTCCTCTTCTCTACTACCAGTAAATGTGCATACAGATGAGGATCATTAAGAGAAGAGAAAAAATAAAAGCTGAAGATCTGAGGAAAAATGAACAGGAATATACCTCCGCCTTTACTCTGCCTCCTTTCGTAATGTACAGGTGGGCTGTTATGGCACACAGGAACGAGGGAAAGCTCGCGCTCAACCACAATCAACGCAGCGAGCTGTGTACATGAGAGGCACAGTAAAAGGGGAGTTGCAAGGACAAATGAAATGGCTAGTATGGGTACCCCAAAAGCCAAAGTGAACACTGAGTTAAAAAAGGTTTTTTTTTTTTGTTTTTTTTTTTGTTTTTTTTGTTTTGTTTTGTTTTGTTAAAAAGGGATTTAAATTTTAAACGCTTCTATTTTTATTTTGCTCCATGTTGCTAGCTATAAACTAGTATAAAGGTAATAAAACTGTTTCATTGTTGGTTTTTCCCAACTCAATTGTTTTTTGTTGCCTGCAATAGGAGTCATTATAGGACTAAAGCTGATTCGATTCGGATCTAATTCAAACTTCGCACGCACAAAACACACATACGATGTCCAGGTGCAGAGGGTGAACCCAACCATGAAAGGAGCCCTCGGCACGCAGGGCTGCCGAAACCCTGGCATTGAAGTGTGATGCTAGCAGAGGCTGGGACCACCACAGCCAAGGGTAACCCTATTTGTAACCGTACCGCGGAGAAGATCGCAGAGCATTTCACACATTGCCCTGTTCCGTCCGGCACAAGGCAGACACCTTATCGTCAAATGTAAGAGACTATGCAGACAGTTTGCTAATGCAGTGGCCAAGGAATTCGCTGATATCAATCACGGCACGAAGCACGATCTCATTGTTAAATGGTTCCTCATTGTTGGCGGCAAGAATAATGGCCAAGTATTTGGCCAGGTTCATGAACAACGGACCCGGCAGAGACGTGAGACCGAAGATAAAACCACTCGTGAGGTCGAGCATGGCACTGTTCAAACTGGCGGTCCCTCAATGCAACATTTAAGGACATGAACTGTAAATTTGGGTAAATCCCCCTTCCCTGGTACAGTTACTCTGTTGCCTCTAGGCATAGGGAAGGTCCATAGTGAGCTGAAGGGCAATTGTAAGAAGGTCCATAGTGAGCTGAAGGGCAATTGTAAGAAAGTCTGACGTCGTGTAAACAGGGTGGCGGAAGTCGTACAGAGGCAGGCATCACTACCGTCTTCACGCGAATACAACGTCCGGCCATCGTGGCCGTATTCGGGGCAACTTTCCGTCCAGATACAGCTATAATTGGCAGGGTTCTCGACAAGACCAGAGGGGAAGGGATCGCAGCGGAAGTGTTTGTTTGTTATTTCCCTAGACCAGGCTCAAGCACCAGACGCTACCATCTTCACCCAAATAGAACGCACGGCCATTGTAGCGGTATGTGGGGCAACTTCCAGTCTAGATAGGGTGATAAAGGTCGTGTGCTCTATCTGGGGGATCAATGAGGTGTTAATCGCTGCCGTCAACAGGCTGGAATGCCAGACCCTAGCATCTTCACCCGCATAAAATCCACGGTCGTAATAGGTATAGAGGCTACAGTGTTCTCTGCGCAGGTAGTGAGACCAGGGTCAATCAGCCATCAGCGGGGCAACCACACCGGCATGAGCAGCAGAGGAAACGCCTATGAACGACTGCCACAGGAACCCACGGAGGTAACAGCAGCAGTGGAAACTGCAGCAGAAAATCGCACGTTCAGGGGCAACGTGAGGGTGTTGTAGAATTTGTGGGGGCAGGGAAGAAAGTGGATCTGGTGGAGGGACCAGCAGAGAGGCACCAGCAGCAGTGGAAACTACAGCAGAGCAAACTGCATGTTAACTGTGTCCAGATGAGCGAGTAGGGGCAATGCGAGGGCGTCGTGGAACTTGTAGGGGGTGGAGGGACTGTTGCAGCATAAGGTGGGACCAGTGAGGGAATGGCGTCACGAGCTCGGGATAACGGTGCTGGCGAGAGCGCACATAGCAAGCAGGTCCAGCCCACATGCCACGGTTGACATTAGCCTCCTAATGAGTCGGAGAAACTCCGGCGAAACAGTCTGTCACAGCCGCTCCTTTGTTGTCCTCGTCTTCCTCTATGCCTACGATTACCCGGGCAGTTCTCTACGACGGTATGTAATGTCGGTGGATGCCTAGTTCACAGTTGTTGTACGCCTGCCTGGTGCGCACAGTTTTCTTTTTTTTGTGTGTGTGTTGTTGATTATCACCACAACAGCCGACGAGTAGATCCACAATGCAGCTTTACCTCTATTGCAGAGAATGAAACACACTTGAGGATAAGCCATTCCAACAATGAAAGCAAAATAGATCTGTTATATGCCCCTTCTTCTTGCTCTTTGTTTTTCTTGGTTTCCGGGGGGTAGGCGGCGGGGAGGGGAGAGGGTACCCCTTCTGTTTGTTCTTGCAGCTCCCTTTGTTTTTCTTGGTTTCAGGGGGGTGGGGGGCGGGGAGGGGAGGGGGTACAAGGCTGGCTACGTTGACTGTGGTTGAGCCCCAGCTGCCCACATCACAGTGCACCTTAGTGGCACAACGTGCACATTATGAGAGGATGCAGAGTAAAAGGGGGAGGTATACTCCTGTTCATTTGTCTTCAGATGTTCAGCCTATCTTTTGTCTGTTCTCTTCATGATCCTCATCTGTATGCATTTACGAGCAGTGCACAAGGGGAGGGAGGGAGGAAAGGGGTAGGAGATAAGTTCTGTAGGAGGCGAGGGGCGAGGGAGGGGAGAAAAGGGAAAGGGGTAGAGGAGGGAAGTGGAGGGGCAAAGAACAGAACAGAGGAATGACAAACTTCACAGAGTCCTCATTGAATACTCACCGCTGGAGCAGACAGACTATGCACAAGAGGCCAGTCACTGCTTCTTTTCTTTTCCCTTTTCTTTCAAATGCGAGACGAGACGACCTTGAAGATGTCACCGTACAATTTCTGAATTACCCAACTATGGTAATTTAGAAATTCACTGAACCTAGTCAACTACCGTAGTTCCATCACCTGGATTTGAGCCCACATCCGTATTTCAATTTTCGGCGGTTCATAGGCGTACCAACTGTACCAACTGAGCCAGTCAGTGATTGGGTTGCAGCCTTGCAGGATAATTTTTGCGATGAGCAGCCGCCATTGCCTATGATAAGCGGACACCCCTACAGACCGGACAGGACCGATTCGGGTGTGGACTGTGGAAGCACCGCATCCGATTCTCGAAGCTGCAGTTGCTGCATCGAATGGCACGGCGTCGACAGATGACAGATGTCACAGGCGATGTGGATCCTACATGCTAGGAACACAGAGGCACGCTGACCGCGACCGCAATTGTAGAGCGTAGCGTAGAACGTTCCAGCCGCTGTCTACAAATTGGACAAGACATGTCAGGGTGCTTCCGTACATGCGTGCAATATCGACTGTCGTCGTACGTATGGAAGCAAAAACTTGCATCGGCTATATACCTTCACAATCCTCACGACACAACGCATGCGAATTACATGCTAACCGAACCTCAGGTAGGCCATCACAGAGCGGCAGTGAGCAAGTTTCTTGGGTATCCGCAACCATTATTCCCTGTTTATGGGCAGATGGCGAAGGGGACTGATCCTAAGCAAAGGTGTTAAGCTGTTGCAAGATTTGGTCTGCAATGGCTCGGCATGGTGAAGTTCAGCTTTCAGTAGATGGTTCATGTGATAGTCTATTTTCCGCCTCGAGCTGCCATGTCGGTTGTTCGTCTGGCAAGGATGAAGGAGATCCGACTACAGTTGGAGCAGGTGTATGCCCAACGCTGCATGCCGGACACGTTAGGACAGGATGTGGCCGGTGATGGCATCGGGGATAGTCCACGGAGTAGAGACACACACACACACACACACACACACACACACACTTTCTATGACAGCTTCCTGGAGACATTGGCGACACATGGCCTGTTGCTGGCATGCCGGCAGGAATGCAGGCTGACATCCGTGTGTGTGGGACAGGTCCTTATGGTTCCAAAATCCTACAGATGCATAGGGGCTCTCGCTCCACTACTCACCACATGCACAAAAGACAAAAAAAATACAGCGGTGCATGTTTCCATGTTCTATCAGAAGATTCATTCTCATTTTGCACATGTGCCGAGTAGTGGAGCGAGGCCCATAGAGTGCTGACAAAAAGGACAATCAGAGATTGTTCCCAAGAAAAACTTTCCAAAGGGTCGTCTGCACACTCTGACACTTCTGCGGTTCAACGAATCTGACCCTAATTGTGGTCACGTACATTCTAAATCAAAATTTCTTAATAAAGTATGCTCAGAGTGGTTATCCGCAGTCAGCACACACTGCACTTTTCACATAGTTCTAGGAATCTGGTTCCAATTACGGTCATGCGGCCTCCCTCCACTACTTTCCATATCTGCAAAATGAGACTGAATCCTCCACTAGAACATGGAAAGATACATTGCCATCCTTTTTTTTTTCGCCTTTAGTGCATGTGAAAAGTAGTGGACCGACATCCATGGTGACTCGCATTAAAAAAAATCCTAAAAATCAAACGTTCTTAGAGTGCATATATGATGCTCTTCCACAGATCGATCATGCATCTGACACCTGTTCACAATGACATTCGTTGGTGAGCGGAAAAATCCAAAGTCGGCTCCACGTAATGCGATTATCTATCGAATGATGGCAAGAACAGACAAGGTTATGCTGACATCCACAATTTAAACTTTAAAACTTTAAAAGTGAAAACGTCACATATACTAATCTGGTAAATTGAACTAAATTCCAAAAACAGGAGCTCCACGAAAGACTGAACACAATAAATGTATATTGAATAAATGCACAAGAGAAACAGCAACAACAACAACCTTCACAACGACCATAAGGACAACAATACCAACAACAATGACAAAAAACATTTAAAACAACAATAAAAATGCAGAATCCATCGTATTCACCTGAAAAGAATACGTGGTCATTATAGCTGTATTGAGGGTAACTTTCAGTCTAGATACAGCGATAATGTCCAGGCATTCCAGTTGGCCAAAGACGGTACCAGTCAGAAGAGTTCAGCCACACGGAACAAAGCTGGCAAAGGAGGAGCACCTACCAAAGGCGATGTAATCGTTGCTTTCACCTCCCCCCTATGCGCCATCAAGAGGTCGGAGAAATGACCCACAATCCGGTTGAGTTCCTCTAGCCTTCCGTTCTCTGCCAGAAGAGCTGCAAAAATTTACACCCGTAGAAGCATACGGTCAATCCATGCACACAAAATTGGTACCCACTGCACTCCTGAGAAAAACACAGTCACCCCGCACCGAGTTAACAGGGTCGCAAAAAAATATAGGGCAAGTCACCCCGAATCGAGTTAACAGGGTCGCAAAAATATAGGGTAAATCGCCCCGCATCGAGTTTACAGGGTCGGAAAAATATAGGCTAAGTGTCACTTACTCATTTTTAAGTGGGTACATAGGGTAAGTGTCACTTCCTCATTTTCAAGTGGATACACTCTAAAAAAAAAAAAAAAAAAAAAACACAGAGAACTAAAAATAGTTACCGCAGGGTCATTAAACAACCAGTACTTTTGCCGAGTGGGAAAATAGCGGGCCTCGGGTGGGCCTCCAACCTCTTAGGAGGCCGAAACGAAACGACGACTGCCGATCAGATTTATCAATGGCAGCCGTCGTCGGGCCCGGTCTCCGTTTTTTTATGAGTTTGGGAAAACTGCCAGTTCTGAGTTTTCCCTATTTTCCCAATACTGGCAGAGGTACTAGTGGTTAACACTTATTAATCGCTCCTGCGGAATTCACCCAGCATGGAGTGGCACCCTACCCCTGCACGAGGGTTATGCACCTAATTTTGAAGTAGGTACCCTAAAACAAAAAAAACAAAACACAAAAAGAACTGTGAGGATTGAGCCCTCAAGAAGGGGCCTTGCCATGATATACATGTTCTGGGCTAAGGCCCCAGGAAGCCTAGTGCCTGCCCTAAGTCTGTCTCTTATACACATCCCCAGGAAGCCTAGTGCC